CATTGGGGTGGCCTGGGGTGGAAATGTACAGCTGAGTATCATCAGCGTACTGATGGAAATCCACCCCGAAGCCATGAATGATCTCCCCCAGCGGCTTCACATAAATATTGAACAAAAGGGGAGAGAGGACCGACCCTTGTGGCACCCCACAAGTTAGGGGCCTTGGGGTCGACCTCTGTCCCCCTGCCAATACAGACTGTGTACGGTCGGTGAGGAAGGAGGAGAACCACCGCATAACAGTGCCTCCCACTCCCAACCCTTTCAAGATATGGCCACAGATGTTATTCAACAAGTGGTGGAAAAAATTTGCATTTCAGTTGGATGAAAGCACTAATTGTCTTTGTGCGTGTTCCTGATTCGGACGATATACTGGAACACATATTATTTTGCTGCCCACTACCTGGCAGAACGACTGGGGAAGAAATATTCACAATAATTGACAATTTTTTCAGTGAATATAGAATATTATGGACTTGATGTGTAGGAATTTGTTCTGATGGTGCAATAGCTCTTACAGGAAGAGCTTTAGGGATGATAGCAGGAGCTAAGGCAAGAAATAGCTCCATTGTTTCAAATCATTGCATCTTGCATAGACATGCACTTGCTGCTAAACGGATGAGCCCAGTGTTACATGAGACTTTGGCGGATGCTGCAAAAATAATAAATTTCATCAAAAGCTGGCCATTGAATGGACATTTACTCCAGCAATTATGCAAGGATTTGGATTTTGAACATAGCACTCTTCTCTTTCATACAGAAGTATGTTGGTTGTCAAGAGGTGAAACATTATCGAGATTATTCAAGGTACGAGATGAAATGCACCTGTTCCTGACAAATGTTTCATCAACCCTAGCAGAAAAGTTTAAAAATGTCTTTTGGGTATCCTGCCTTGCCTATTTGGCTGACATATTTAAAAAGCTAAATGAACTTAATCGGTCACTGCAGGGCCACGGTCATAACGTGTTTGTTATGGAAAACAAAGTTTGTGCCTTCCACAAAAAAATCTCCGTGGATAGGACAAGTAGAAAAAAGGAATATTGCCTCATTTCCCAATGTGTCAGACTTTATTGAACTAAATTCTATTGTTGACACTGAGGGCATTGAAACAGCCATCAAAAATCATTTAGAAACATTGCACACAGAGTTGGAGTTGTATTTTCCATTCGTGTCAAGAGGATGTGATACTAGAATTTGCTGGGTTGCATCACCCTTCATCATGGACAATGTTGTGAACTCTGACCTTTCCTCTCCAGAGCAAAAGGCACTTCTGGAATTGAGTGAGTTCTGGAGCCAAGCTGCAAAACTATACCCGGAAGTGGGGGGAAAGGCTATCGCAGCCTTACTGCCATTTGGTTCCACATACGTGTGTGAGAAGGCATTTTATTCCTCAACATGTATAAAAACTAAGGAAAGGAATTGCCTTCAGCTGGAATCTGACTTAATTCTGTCAGTAAGCACTCTCCAGCCACGACTGCAAAGATTAATGGCAGAGAAGCAGGCACAAATTTCCCATTAAAAGTGTGATAAATGGGTACACTTTTTTCCTGTTTTTTTATTTATTTATTTATTTATTTATTTGATTTGTATCCCGCCCTTCTCCTCACCGGACTCAGGGCGGCTGACAGCCTTATAAAACAACATTACAACAAATATCAATATTAAAACCAGATTAAAAGAAAATATTTGTAAAGGCCTAGTCGTTAAAATTACCCTTAAAAACCCCACTAAAATTCCCTAGGCCAATCCCGC